GTACAATGATATGTATATATACACGATAGCATGTCTCTAATACTACAGTGGTGTAATAACCCTAAAAATGACTATACTAAGTTGCTTAATGTGTCTAGAATGCCTACGATTAGACTGAGTTCACACGAATTGATGTGCATAAAACTAGACCTCTGAACCCTGGCAACAGCCAAACCAACCAACTTGGCGAGTTAGTTGAGCTAGGACAGGTTGGGTCCATCCATGTAGGGACCTGAATATGAAGATCTACCCCGGATGAGTCTTAACCGGACTTAAAAAGGGGTAATCTAAAGTTTCGAGGGTCTCTTTTTCTAGGATAAGGGTAGTATTGTATTTACCCTAAATATTTAATTAATTAATTAATTATGATGGTGGAGGGGCAATTTGGGTAGAAAGGGATGAAATTGGCCCTTTGAGTGAAATCTTGCTCCACCCGAGTTCAAACCTAGGTGGGAGCAGTGATTTAATTTGATTATTTTATTTGGTGAATTTTTAATTTAATTAATTAATATTTAATTGCTTATTTAAGAAAAAGGAAAAATCAGATATTTATTTATTAATTAAAATTATTAATCCTAATTTGACTAAGTTTCTCCCTAATCTCGTAATCCTAAGCTACCATACCCACACGTTTCTCACCATCTTTTTCTCAAATTCAGGCTCAACTCTCTGTAAAACAAGAGAACGAACATAACTAAAAAGAAAAAAAACATAAAGTTTATCCAGAACGTGACGCTCAAGCAAGGTTAAAAACGAAAAGTAAAAATCAATTTCTCGACAGATTTTGCTTGTGGTTTCGGTGGTTAGGCGTTGGCTTAGTAGGGAGATAGGAAGCACGTTGAATCACTTTTGAACAACTTCAGGTATGTGTTTTCTTTCCTCTTCGTCCCTTTCCCGAGATACCCTTAAGGCTCAAATGAATCAACTCGAAAAACTAGGATTGTTCCACATTGCATGTCCTTGTCACTAGCTCCCTATGATCTTAGGTTGGGTATGCTTGCTGGTAGAATTTAGGGATACGGTGTTTGTGGTGATGATCTCGTTTTGAGTATGTGTTCATTATTATGTGCTTATGTTTTGTGTCTTTCGGAAATATGAATGTAGACACGTATGTATGTGTATAAGATTGTGACCATGACTTTGAGTCTTTGTTTGAGAATGTTAATAGCATAGAGATCACTCGTGTTTTATGTGCAATTAGATGTTCTTAAAATCGTGATGTTCATATGGTTGAAATGCTATCAATTCTAGTTAAAACAAATGACCAAATCACACCTCTAACTTGTCTTAAGAACCCTAATGAACGACTAAGAAAAGTGCTCAAATGACCCGTAAAATGCTGCATAAAAACGTGTAACAAAGTCCCCAAATCTGAAAATCTGCTGCATATGGACTCTGGAAATTTTGGGCATCTAAACATAAAAAAAAATAAGTGAGGTCTGCAGGGATCAAACCCAAGACCTCACTAAAGCATACCTTAATAAATTAATTAAAAGGGGTCTGCTAAGTGGGGCTCGAATTGGGGCTGGGGTTCCAGCGAAACTCGACAGAAAAAGGAAGAAAAGATATGCTTTTGTGGGGTTTCGATCCCACGACACGGAAGATCCCCCAAACATATTACTAAAAAAAAGTGAGCGCGTGGGATTCAAACCCGTGTGCCCTTAGCCGGACTCTTCTACTTAAAACATAAATAAATAAATAAATGAGAATAGTGGGATTCGAACCCACGTCCTCTAGGTAGGTAGCAAAGGAGAAGAGGAATATATATATAACATAAGGTTGTGGGGACTAGATCCCACAACCCCTCAACCAGTAGCGAAAATGAGAAGCTAAGGAGGGAAAAATTCATTAAGAGAAAATTATGGGGTCGTGGGGAATCGATCCCACGTCCCTCAGCAACTGCCAAAATAAAAAGTGAAAAGAAAAAAAATATTAACGTGAGCAATGAGGGTCAAACCTGGATCCCCAAGCCGAGTGACACGATGGTTAAAATTTAGGAATGGCTAAATGTCGTTCAAGGGATTCAAAACCGGGTTCCCTTGCCCAAATTTCGTATTGACACAGAAGTCTTACGTGATTAAATATTTAATGAAAGTTGCCTATAGGAATCAAATTGAGACACTGGCATACTTACAAAATGCATAAGACATATATCACATAATCTTGAACAATATGCACTAAAATGAATTATGAATGAAGCCTCACGGCTTGTGCATGTGGACTCATAAGTCCAACATACGTTATAAAGTGAACCTAAGATGTTATGTGATGAATGATTAAACCCCATAAGGGTTAACTAAGAGTGTGAAATACACTAAAAGGCCAATTACATTGGCATGTGATGAAATGAACATTCACGTAAAAAAAAGGGTGAGTAATTATGATGGGCAAATGTGCTAAGACTAATGGATGTTGTGACAACATAATAAGAGGCCAATGTGAAACATGTGAGCAATCTCAAATTAAGTAAATGTTACCAAAACGTACTCGCCTATGAGAGTGTAATGTTAATGAACAGAGCAGTCTCTATGAACACTCTAATGAAAGTATTAAAAGTTAATACATACTTAATACTAATGATGAGATGAGAAATAATCTAATGAGCTATGATGCCCTGATTCTAGAAGCCAACTTCTATGATGTATGAGATGAATGTAATGGAACTTTATAATGAGCACCGATAGGCTAGCTATGAGTTGCGATTCCTTCTTTCGGGAAGGCAGAGGTTAGTATAATTCTCATGAGATGAGATTGTCCATCTAGACGGTTATGGGTCTCCTTATATCTCCTAGTCTTTGAACCTATACTGCCAATATAGGGTTTTTGCAGGGTTCGACTCCCTATATATGCTAACATGTTTTGGTTCACTTTGGCCGGTGATTCCACCTCTTTTTGGTGTGGGTTTAAACACTGGATTTCATGATGCTCACATGATCTATGTTGGTTTAGGTTAAAGTTCCCAAATAAAGAATGAGGACAGCCTCAAATAATGCACATAATGAAATGAACGATACCAAAGGTATTAGGATAGGATGATCAAGAGTTGAGATAGACTTAAGTAATGACACTAGGTATGACTGGTGTTTACACTAGCTTACGAACTAATGAAAATGAAGTATGTATAAATGAATGAAGTAGACTCTGTGTTTGCTAAAGAAGACTCCCTAGTTGAGGTCCCATATGTTGAGCCTCATATTGGGAAGTCCAAATGTCAAGTCTATGATTCCAAGGTCTCATGACATATGATGAAATGATATGATCTATGTGATATGATATGTGCAATATGATATATGTTGTTTGCAAAATGATATGAATGATGATGCATGTTACTCTCATAGCATGACTTTCCTAATCCGATTTTGGCAAGTTCACTGACTTGACTTTCCATATTTCATATCGTTAGGAGAGAGCTCTTCTTAATCATGCATGTCCTTGGTGTGTGCTTGCATATACCCATACTTAGTACAAGTGTCTACTAATCTCATACAACTCTCTACTTTTAGGTGCAGTTGCAGCTGGACGCTAGAACTTAAGAATCAACGTTGAAGTTATCTGGACGTGGAGATCTCATCCGGATTTGGTAGGCCCTCATGCTTTCGAGGATGCTTATTATTTTATTCTAGCATTAGAAGTAGACATTATCTAGTGGATTATGTTACATTGGTGTTTCTTTCCCAATTATTTTCAGATATTGTATTGGTGCCATTTTGGCAACTCTATATTTTATACAGATATTGACTATGTCTTTCATTTGATTATCTTGATAATATATGGTTGTTGTGAACACTTATGAGTTTATGTAGATAGTGTTATGCGAGTTCAATGTTTCTCACTATGAAGTCTAAGTAAACAAAAAGTTTAAATTTTCCGCTAAAATTAACCTAGATGATGTAACGATTACGTATGTAGGCTTGTCTGCGACCTCTGAGAGGTCAACGACGCCGGTTTCGGCTAGGGTCTAGACTCCGATAGTGACAAGTAGTATAATCCAAATAGGTTTCAATTAGTATAACAATAATAAGACTATCCATACTCAGCACGTTATCTCTTTGTGGTGCCTGACTTGGATTCGGAATCATATGTATTAATACTTCTCAATTTGTTCCCGCTTAAATTGTATTTCACAATTTAATTAAATAAAAATTAGAAACTTAAGTAATGTTGTGACATTAATTATTTACTATCAATTATTTTTGTTGAAGTACTAAGAAATTTTATTGGTGGCATCAAGAAGATGTTGAATAGTATAACTATTTAACACAAATTATATATTTATCTAGTACTAAGTGTAAAGTGAATCTTTTTTGAACAAAGTTTTACTTGTAAAGTCAATTTTTAAGTCCTTTTTTTGTAAGTTGACTTAAAAGAACCCTTATGAGAGGATTAGTCAAATACAAAATTGTCGCAGTAGTGATAAAATTACCTCTCAGATAACCTGGCCAGGAACAAATTGGTATATTCCATGGAACTTTTTCTGAAACTCCATTTAAAAAGAAGTTATTTCAGATGAAGTAGACGCTAGGTCAAAGCCAAGCCAGCCCTTGTTTAGAGGGGTAAAAAATACAGAAGATAATTTTAAGTGCTCCAATATATTAAACTTCCTCACATAGTACCAACTCTTACAACTCCTTTTTTTTCAAACATAGTAGTCCCAACTCATATAACTCTCATGCACTTTGGTAAACCATATGATAAACATCAGCGGACAGGTACATTTGTACTAATATAGAAAAAAGATTTGAATTGTAACTTTAAAATACTGACAAATACAGCCGGGGAAAGAATACTATAAGTGCGATTTCAGAAGCCTTGCATGGATGCTTGACTATGCTTTAGTAATGATAACATAAGCACAAAAGTTATAATGACATCGAAGGGGTCACAAACTATGAAGAATATAGGTGATTATTTTTATTATTATTGAGAATTCAAAAATCGCAAAAATGCTAAGCAACACCAGAAGCTTGCAAATATGTTGAGCATCTAGCATAAGTCAATACCTGAAAAAGAGCTTTTGACAAATTTGGAATTGCTAGCAGCAGTTGGCGTGTCTGTTCCTTGTTTTGTGTACACATTGCCTGACATCAAAATTACAATAATTATGTCAAGGCATCAAGCAGTTATCCACGAGGTTCGAGGATTACATTCATTCATTGACACTATAATAAATGAAATAATATGTCAGATAAGAGCATTTGACTAGTTAATTCCTATACCTCCAGCCAATAAGAGTAGTTTTCTAGTTCTGTTACTTCTTGCATAACTCAGCAGAATGACTTGGAAGGCAATTCAAAGTTTGTCATTATATTATAGTTTTGCAACTATATTCAAGAAGGACTAGAAATATCATGAATGGGAGAAAGTTTTAATCAACATCCTGACCTTAAACTCAGACATAACATCATTAAGGTGACTCCTTGACAATTTGGACATATGTAATGTTAAAGGATCTACTCCAGACGTATTGAATGAGTTTCCACTCTGAGAAGCTCCAAGAGCTCCTGCCATGACAGCTGCAGCAGTCATAGCTACTTGCATGCCTAATGGCTGCTGAAGTGTAGAATCCACAGGGACAGCTGGTCCCCCAATGTGCATTTTGGGATCTGATAAGACATTACAACAGAATAGTTACATTAAATATTCTAAAGAGAGAAAATATAAAAAATAATTGATGATATGAATCTCATGCCCCTTCTCTTTTGCCAATTGGAAGAGAAAAGTGGAAAAAAAAGTGAGAGTGAAACACACCAGCATTCGCGACCATGCCAGGTCCACCACACTCCTGTATAGAAAAGAAAAACATGGTAAATTGAATAGATATTTATTCAAAATTAGAGAAACATAGTATTCGAAGAGAGTATTAGTTTGTTTTCCTTTCTCTTTCCTCATTGAACGGGTTCAATAAAGTATTTGCTTGTGTCTGAAAAAGTGATGTCCAGAAAAAGATGATAATATTCACACAAAAAGTTCTCTCACAATATTTGTCAAGAGGAGTTTAAATATTAAGAAGCACTCTTTCATCCTAACTAAAGATCATAATTATGTTTGGGCATGACTATTAAGGTATCTGTAGAAGCGTTGATGTATTTAACATAAAGTAGGTTAAAAAAGTTGATGAAGAAAACATGCTAAAGAATTTGGACTTTAGTTTAGTACAGAAATAGGTGAAATGCATCTTTTTTTAACAAAAGAACAAAAAAGTTGAATGTTATAGGTTGCAGGCCTTGACTTAGGTTTACACATCAACATGAACAAGAACCTTCTTTATCCAGTTAGCCAGGTTGAAATTAATCAGTAGTTAACTGTAATATAGGGTGAAAACAAGATAATTTCTGATACATTTGGAATAAAAACATAAATCATCTGATATGCGGCAATGAACAATATAAAATATGCGAAGAAGTTGGCTTGTGGAAATGCAGTTCTTATCCATGGCTGAAAGATTAGCATTTTTGCTTTATCGGGTACACCCCAAGGCATTGCTCTAGCAATAAGAGTGCATCACATGATATGTGGATTAGGCAACTAAAGTGTTTGAAGCAAAAAACACCAGATTTCACGGTCTTTAACAAGGATGAAAACCAGTGATGTTAGTATTGGATATCTAGAAAGAAGAATTTTTCTCCCACAGAACCTACTGTAATACCAACACCACCTTGCATGAAATAAATAGGAAAGCAGTTGTTCAAACCAGTGACAAGAAACTAAAAGAACAGCTAATGAAAGAAATATACCAAAGTAATTTTTGCTGACACTCATAAAATGGTTTAGGGTGTCTAAATATCTTACCTGTTCACGATTTCTGTCAGAATTTTTGTCATTTCCAGCAAAATCAACTCTTAGCTTCCGACCATTTATCTTGTAACCCTGAAGGTTGCGACGAGCACTCAAGGCAGTCTCTTCATCTCTGTATTCGCAAAATCCATAACCTTTTAATTTCCCAGTTTCTCTATCAGTCACCAATCTGAGGAAAATAAACCAAAAGAATGAAAAGATGGAAACGCTAGGTAGACTCATCCAAATAAAGAAGAAGAGGGGGAGGGGGATGGGGGTGGGGGGTCATCTCTTATAAGATGAAAAAATCTCCTTCAGTTGGTCATCCTCCACATAACACCGTCTAAACAAAACTTCAAAATTCTTCCCAATAAAAAGTTTTTCAACCAGCTGAGTAATAATTCAAAACAATCATTTTCATACTAGAAATGATATTAGGTACTCTAGCGGTCAAGTTTACTCAATCCATTAGTCACCTCAAATCCTCAATCAACAAAACAATATCTACAAGGATAGATTACAAAATAACATCTACAAGGATGCATTACAAAACAACATCTACAAGGATAATCACTACTATAATACACCGAATTTGTGATGAAAAAGTTAAAAGAGTACTCTTGTGAATAGACCAGGCAGGCGACCTAGTTAAAGTATTTTTTTCTAGAAGAGGATTTACGCGAGCCAAAAGAAGAAACAACCAAGCAAATCGTTACTAAACTATGTTTGGGATTCTGGTTGACAAAAAAAGGTGTTGAGAGTCTATTTGACAAGTTAAGAAGAAATATAGTTTCTACATAAGTAGTGCTATGTAGTATGAAGTAATTTATGAAATTTTTTTAGAGAATTCTTTGTCCTACTCATCCTCGTTATGTCAGGCATGTCACCTTCTTCTTTTAGCATCTCATCTCATTCTTATTATTGTTTTACCCCTTTCTTTGTTACTGTTTCATTTATTAGTTTCCCTATTGTAGTTTTCCTATTTTAGTTTGAAAACACAATCATCTTCTGTGTTGTTAAGTATTTGCAGTAGTATTTTACTACAACTATTACATATACTAGACATGTGAGTGCACTTGTAAGTAGAAAATTTGCAACAGAACAACCTGTTCTATATCCCTCTTCTGAAAACCAAACATCTGTCTTAACTAAATAAAACAAATAAAAGATAAAACTATTTCTGAGCAATATAAGAGAGTAGTAAGGAAAACATACTAACCTGAAGGAAACAACTGGTCCAACTTCCTCACAGATTTGAATTAGTTGCTCTTCAGTAGCATCATAAGGTATATTCCCAACTACATAATCCATAAATAAATCCAAATACTTACAAATTCTGCTAACAACTTACCAACAATCGTAATATTCTAAAATACATACAGAAGCAACACAAATTGGACCAAATTATCAACATCCAATACGCCCAATTGGTTAAAGTTTCAATCTTTTCAACAAATCCAGCAAACAATTGGTGGAATTACGTTAACCTGAATAGTTTTTAATAAAACCAATTGAGAGATAAAGAGAATTAGGGGGGAAATACTAACCAAAGACAGAACGACGCTGAGAATCAGAAGTGGCCATAATTGTTAAAAGTCTAAGAAGAAGGTGAAGCTCGAGTGATTCAACTTCAACTTTTCCCTCTGATAATTCAAGTGATTTACTCTATTCTTCTTTTTTCAAACTGTGATTAAGCGGAGAGGTCATTGCCTGATTTCCAGGACAAATGAGGAAGGAAAAAGGAAAACGGGTCAGGCAGATTTAATCGGGCAGCCCATTTATTTACTACTCATTCTGTCCCTAATTACTTGTTCACTTTTGAATTGACATAATTATTAACAAAATAATTAATGAACTAGTGAGTTTATTATTTTAGCTCTATTAATTATGAAGTGAATTAAGTAAAGACTTAAGATTTTCTAGAAGTTATATCTTTTTCGAACTAACTAATTGAGGGTATAAGATGCAAATTTTTTTTTATCCTTTTTTAATTTCTCAAAGTGGACAAGTATCTAATGACAACAAAAAAATGAAAAGCGGACAAGTAAATAGGGACAGATGAATGTAACAAATTAGAGACTCACCTCTCTTCTCCCTCTCCCAATCTCGCTCATATCTCTTCTCTCTCTCCTAATCTCGCTTGCCATATATACAAATGCATATGTACAATATACGATTATCTAACTAATATAAATATATAGTTCACCTCTCTCCCACTTTGTGCCTCTTTTGCTCGCTTCTCTCCAAATCTCGCCGACCTCTCTCCCCCCTCCCCCAATCTCAGTCGCGTCTCTCCCAACCTCGCTTGCCATATATACAAATACATATGTATAATATATCATTATCTAACTGATATAAATATACAATTCACCTCTCTTTCTCTCACTTTTTTCCATCTCTCTCGCTTCATTCCCCTCTCTCTCCAGTCTCGCTCGCATCTCTCCTCCCTATAACATGTAAATAGGAATTGTAATCATCAAACTATATCTATTGAGAGTAATCAAATTATTTTTGAGTGACTATATGTGAAAGTTCTCCATTACGTAACACCTTAAAAAACTTTTTTTTCTATTAAACACTCGATCCTTAAAAAATAAATACATATTGAACATTTTTCCGATACTTCATCAAAAGAGAAAGTGTGTGCAGTACCATGCATATAATATGGCGAAATAGTAAATTAAATGAAGACATGTAGAATTTAATTTAAAATAATTATAAAAATAAATTTTTAATATAAAAAAGTCAAAATCTTAAAAGAAAAGACTTTAAACTAAAAAAAGGAAAAACATTATACACCCCTAACTACACCCCCCCACCCCCCTCGAAGTCTCTCCCTTTCTTCTCTTTTTCTACTAGTCTCTTGTCCACCATTGTTACTTCTTTATTTTGAAAAATTGGAGGATTTTACACATATTATGTATGGATTTATTATTTCTTTTCTCTTTTTGCTTTCTTTCTATATTTCCATTTAACTTGATAGTGCTTTCTCAAAAAAATAATTTTTTCATTGTTTATTTTGATTTCAAATTTGTTTTTTTATTATTTGTACTTCGATTTGTGAGGAAGAAGGAGTGTGGTCAAGGTTGGAACTTGGGGTCAAAGCTATAAGTTGCAATCATTATCATATTAATATGCTCAAAAAATACACTTTTAAATATTTATCAAAGTCCATGCAGTTTTAATTCTCAAAAAGCGAAATTTGATAAATAAGAACAAATAAAGAGATAAGTTTCTTCGTTTCATAAAACCTATTTTATTGTGGCATGTTGAAATTTTGAAAACTTATTGGGTAAAGGTTTAAATCTATTTGCCCTAGAATATTTTGAAACAATCGGTTGATAATTGGTATAAAATATGCTTTTTGTTATAAAACTATAGAATAAGAAGAGAAAACTAGAGAGAAAAGAAGAGAAGACTTGCTATTTCTCTTGATGAATTAATTTACAATGAAGAGAAACATTCTATTTATAGGAGAAATCTAACTTGGTCCCCAAGTAGGAGGACTCATTAATCATATCCTAAAAAGGACTCCACATGATAGACATTCACTATAATACATATACTTTATAACACTCCCCCTGAATGTTTAATTCATAGATGATGTGCCTCGTCAAAAACCTTACTAAAAAAAACTTTAAGAAAAGAAAAACTATGGTAAAGGAAAAGAGTACACATATCTATTAATACGCATCTAGGCTGCCTCATTAAAAACCTTACAAGGAAAACCCAGTGGGAAAAAACCTCGTAAGGAAAAAAGAGTACAACGCGTATTAACTCCCTCTAATGAGAACATCAATCCAAAGACTTGAATCTTCGCATTCCAAGCTTGTGCACCATCTTATTGAAAGTTGCAGTTGGTAGAGACTTTGTGAATAGATCAGCCACATTGTCACTTGAACGAATCTGTTGCACATTTATATCACCATTCTTTTGAAGTTCATGTGTATAGAAAAGTTTCGGTGAAATATGCTTTGTTCTATCTCCTTTTAAGAATCCTTCCTTAAGTTGTGCAATGCATGCTACATTATCTCCATATAAAGTGGTGGGTACTTTATCACATTCCAAACCACATTTCTCTCGAATGAGATGTATCATAGACCTTAACCACACACATTCTCTACTTGCTTCATGAATAGTTATTATTTCAGCATGACTAGATGAAGTGGCTACGATGGACTGCTTTGTAGATCTCCAAGATATGGCAGTCCCCCCACATATAAACACATAGCCTGTTTGGGATCGAGCTTTGTGTGGATCAGATAAATATCATGCATCAGCATAACCAACAAGATTTGGGCTACAATTAACAGAATAAAATAAGCACATATCAGTTGTCCTTTTAAGATATCGCAAAATGTGTTTTATCCCATTCCAGTGTCTCCTAGTAGGAGCAGAACTATACCTTGCTAACAAGTTAACAGCAAAAGTTATATCAGGCCTTGTAGTATTAGCAAGATACATTAGTGCACCAATTGCACTAAGATATGGTACTTCAGAACCAAAAATTTCTTCATCCTTTTCTTGAGGTCGGAATGGATCCTTATTCACATCAAGTGAACGAACAACCATCGGAGTACTTAATGGATGCGCTTCATCCATATAGAATCTTTTCAACACTTTTTCTGTGTAGGCAGATTGATGAACCAAGACATTTGTCAAATGCTCAATTTGCAAACCAAGACATAATTTTGTTCTTCCCAGATCTTTTATCTCAAATTCATTCTTTAAATAATCAATTGCCTTTTGAAGCTCTATTGGAGCTCCAATAAGATTTATGTCATCAACATAAATAACAAGTACAACAAATTCCGATATTATTTTCTTTATAAAGACACATGGAAAATTGCATCATTTGTATAACCTTCCTTAATTAAATACTCACTAAGACGGTTATACCACATGCGCCCAGATTTCTTCAAACCATATAATGATCTTTACAATTTAATTGAATACATTTCTCGAGATTTTGAATTACATGATTTAGGCATCGCAAATCCTTCAGGAATTTTCATGTATATCTCATTATCAAGTGATCCATAAAGGTAGGCTGTAACCACATCTATCAAATGCATTTCAAGTTGCTCATGGACTGTGAAACTAATGAGATAACGCAATGTTATTGCATCCATAACGGGTGAGTATGTCTCTTCATAGTCAACGCCAGGCCTTTGAGAAAATCTTTGTGCAAAAAGGCATGCTTTATACCTTTGTAATTCATTTTTCTCATTTCTTTTTCGAACAAAAATCCATTTGTAACCAACACGTTTAATACCATTAGATTTTTGAACTATATGTCCAAAAACTTCACGCTTGGCTAGTGAATTCAACTCTGATTGAATTGGTTCTTGCCATTTTAGCCAATTATTTCGTTGTCGACATTTTATAACAGATTGAGGTTCATGATCCTCATTATCTTGCATGATATTTGTTGCAACATTATATGCAAAGACATAATCAACCACTATTTCTGATCGATTCATATTAGTTTCTACATCTCTTAAATTTATGGATAGTTCATTATTTCTTTGAGTTTCAAGTTCATTGATTCTTTCATGAATATCAGACTTATTCAAATTTTAAACTTCCATATGAGATTCTTTCATAGTGTCATCTTGACATTTAATCTTTCTTTTTCTAGGATTTTGATCCTTAGACCCCAATGGTCTACCACGCTTTAGGTGTTTTTTTTGACTCATTATCTATGACACTGGTGGATGGTACTTTAGGGACATCAATTCGAATTGGGACATTCTCTGCAAGAATATGTGATTTAGTAATCCTTTTCACATCTATAAATGCGTCTGACATTTGATTTGCAATTTTCTGCAGATGAATAATCTTTTGTACTTCTTGTTCTCAAGTAGAAGAATATGGATCAAGATGAGACAATGATAATTTTTCCACAAAGTTTCTCATTTTATTTCACTATTCTCTCCCCTAATTTTGGGAAAACTGTCTCATCAAACCGACAATCTGCAAATCTAGCAGTAAGCATGTCTCCAGTCAATGGTTCAAGATAGCGAATAATGGAGGGTGACTCAAACCCAACATATATTCCTAACCTTCTTTGAGAGCCCATCTTAGTGCGGTTTGGGGGTGCCAATGGCACATGTACAACACTTCCAAAAATTCTTAGATGGGATATATTAGGTTCTTAACCCATAACCAATTGCAATGGAGAAACCTTATGATAACTTGTCGGTCTGAGACGAATAAGTGTTGCAGCATGCAAAATTGCATGTCCCCAGATAGAAGTGGGAAACTTAGTTTTCATAAGCAATGGTCTTCTATTAATTGCAAACGTTTAATTAATGACTCTGCGAGACCATTCTGAGTATGAACATGAGCAACAGAGTGTTCAACTCTTATCCCAATTGCTAAACAATAATCACTAAATGATTGGGATGAAAATTCTGCAGCATTATCAAGATGAATGGACTTAATCTGATTATTAGGAAAGTGTGCCCTTAACCTTATTATTTGTGCCAATAATTTTGCAAATGCCAAGTTACGAGATGACAATAGGCACACATGAGACCATTTAGAAGAAGCATCTATTAGAACCATAAAATATCTAAATGACCCACTAGGTGGGTGAATAGGTCCACAAATATCCCCATGTATACGTTCCAAGAACGCAGGGGACTCAGTCTTAACTTTCATTGGTGATGGTCTCACAATGAACTTGCCTTGATAACAAGCAGTACAAGAAAATTCACCATTTAAAAGAACTTTAGCTCTTTTAGTGGATGTCCATTCGAATTTTCTATAATTCATCTCATCATTATTGATTCAGGATGTCCTAGACGATCATGCCAAAGTATAAATATATTGGAATCAGTAAAGTTCTTATTTACTCTAAAATGTGCCTCAATTGCACTAATTTTTGTCCAATACAATCCAAAAGATAAAGCAGAGAACTTTTCTATAACATTTGT